ACTGTATTTAGCCAGGCCCATTTCAAAATCTATTTGCCATATGGCACATGCGGTTGTGATTCAAGATATATAATTTATAAGCTACCGTATTTTTCGCTCCATAAGTCGGGGTTCCCCCTCCAAAAAAGAGGAGGGAAAAGTGTTTGTGTCTTATGGAGCGGATACTGTCCCCCAGCCCCATTGCTGCCTTCCCAGGCCTCCATAGGCTTGAGAAGGCCCCACCCCACCCTCACCGACACCCTCGGAAGCTTCCCTGGCTTACAAAGCAGCAGGCAGCCGACCACTTCTCCTTCCTCACGCCCAGTCCACGGAGTTCTTCTGACCTGCACACCCTACCCAGGGATTTCGGTGACACTTACTCATGAGTAGACCTGCCTCTCCTGTGGTGCTTACTCATTAGTAGACCCTTGCCTTCGCCAGCCCTTACTCATGAGTAAGCCTGTGCCTTTGTCAACCATTACTCATGAGTACATCCACACCTTTGGCCCCACCCTCACTAACACCCTCCTACCTTCATCGTCACTGCTGAGGTCTTTTGGCCTCGGAGCCATGAATATACAAATGGAGACTGCCTGCCCTGTGCAAAGATGGTGGCTGTGGCTTCATTTAGGGTTGGGAAGCTGCAGCTGCCATCTTTGCAAAGGGCAGGGAGTCTCTATTTCTACATGCGTGGCTCCGAGGCCAGAAGACCTCAGCAGCAGCAATTAAGATAAAAATTATGGTGGCAGAGGGACCCCTGCGGTGCCTTCTGAGGCCTCTGGAGGCTTGGGAGGGAAGCGATGGCAGCGGTGGGGGGGACCCCCAGGAGGCTTCAGACCAGTAAGGTGCTGCTTTTTACTTTTTTAAAAAAATGTTCTGGGTGGGTTTTGGAGGGTAGGTTTGGGTGGGGGGGCATGTTTTTATGTTGTTTTGTTTTTTGGTGAGCTTTTTTTTGCAGTCCCAGTGTGGGACTTGCACTGTTTATTTATTTAATTGCCCACCCCGATACAAAGGAATATTTTTCCTATTTTCCTCTACTAAAAATAATGTGCGTCTTATAGTCAGGTGCCTCTTATCGAGCGAGAAATATGGTATGTAAACCGCCCAGAATGGCCTGGGTTGCCAGTTGGACGGTACAGAAACCAACCAACCAACCAACCAACCAACCAAAACCAACCAAAACCAACCAAAACCAACCAACCAACCAACCAACCACACAACCAACCAATCAAATACAAACAACCAA